CCACTTTCCTCTGAGCAAAGGAACTATTGCTATTGGTAACAATGTGGATGGAGCTGCAGGGACTGTTAGGTGCAGTAGATACTGGATGATGAACTCATATGTGAAACACAAAAATGCAAGCAAAGGAACAGATAAAAGCAACTGTGGAGATGGGAGTAGAGATAGAAGCTTCCACAAGGGAAAGTGGTGGAAACAGGCGGGAAGAGCGTGTCCTGCTCTGTTGGTGGATCCTGCTGGGTTGGGTTGTGCTGTGGTTGATAATACACCTGTAGGGTGGGAACTTACATCCCTGAATCAGACACAAGGTTAGAAGCTAGGACACAACCAGACAATGAAAGACAAGAAGCAAGTGTTGGGGACGATGTGGAGAAGAAGACTGGTACGCTGTTGCTGGCAATGTACATTGGTGCAGTCATGGAGAGGAGTACGGGGAAGTCTCCTCATTAAAAAAGGAGATTTCATTCGATGGAGTTGTCCCACATCTGACATTTACCTGAAAAATACAAAAGTTACCAGCTGGAAGATGTAAATGCACACGCCCCAGTTTACTGCTGCAGCCTTGCTGGGAACAACTCAAGTGTCCAATGAGCAACGACTGGTAAAGAAACACACACACACACACACACACACACACACACACACACACCCAGGGGTTACTCATCAGCTCTATTAAAAAAAAGACAAAATCAAAGGCTGTGTTCCAGGCCTTGCAGATTTGTTCTCTTCTCCCACGGAGCCTCCTCAACTCTGCTCGACCAGGTCCTAGGGGCCAGGAGCACCCTCACACCGTCTCCCTCTTGGTGTTTGTCCGAGCCGGGGGTCCGGGACCAGTGTGTGTGTCATTTATTTCCTATAAAAATTAGATATTAAATTATTGAAAATTTTTTTGTTCATAGTTTCTTATCTGAGTGGAAGAGTTACCAGCATTATTTTTCCTCTTCAGGCAAAGTTGTTGCATTATCGTCCCCAAGGACACTGCTCCCACTGATGTCCTGTAGGTCTGTGCCAACATTCACTTCTCCTTAGAGTCATTATCATGTCTGCACTTTGGTCACAAAGGACCCTTTATTTTCCCAGAGGGTCTTAGGATGTCCACAAAAGACAGAGACAAAGGACCTTAACTAGCATAAACATTCGACCCAAGATATCAGAATTATCTTTCTGAAGTGTATATAATTCCACTTATACTTGTCAAGTTTTTAAATAAGTGTTTTTACTCTATCTTAAGATTGTTTTCCAGACTTGCAAAGAGTGGAGTGTCTGTTTGGGAATCACGGAGACCTGCTGTCAAATATGTCTTGTAAGACGTAATGAAAACTAGCAGAGCTCCATGATGGCCCTGTTATGGATAAATCGACTCTCCTCACACTGTCATTTTCATCTTGAGATTCTCACCACTGCATATTCAAGTAAAGTCAGATTTGTCTTCCAGGAGAGTAAGTACCTTTTCTGTTAATGTCAGTGTTTTTACACATCATTCTGTTCTCTTGGTCTTATAAAATACCAGGCTTCTGTGTTAGAATTGAAACGCTAAAAGGGAAATGATTGTTTCTGACATCCTGTTGAATAAAGTGTAACACAGTATATTCATTAGGAATGTTGACTGCTCGCAGCTGTAAAGACTGAGATGTTCCTGTTCTCACCTTTCTTCGTGGCACATTGGCATCAATAATGGTGCAGAGTGTAGGTTACTGAGAAGTGACCCACGACTACTCTGTGGGACAGACGAATTGAGAGACCTTCAGAAGTGCTCTGCCCAATAATGTAATTTTCACAACTCGCCATTCATGCCAAAATATAACCATATTTTCCTTTATTACAAATATAAAATTACTGCATTATTGTTATCATACTTCACTGACGTCACTAAGTGTGAAGTACTTCTGGAAATACAGAAGTAGAAAATACACCTGACTTCCTTTTCTTGACCAAAGCCTGCAGACATCTGGATAAGCAGAAAACGTGGGTTGACAATGAGAAAGGAGTGATGGAGAATTGGGTCACCACCAAGTTAGGAGGCTAGTGGAGTCCTGAGGGTTAAGACTGTCCTTGTTTTGTTTCAGGTGGTTCAACTCCAGTGGGATTCCAGGTAAAGGCTCCCCGTTACTAGGGAACAGTCACTTCCCTGAGCTCTGGTCAGGGCTCCTTTGCTGAAATCATCCCTGTAGCCATTGCTGTCTGGTACTTAGAACTGGTAGTGTCTGTTCATGTCTTGATGGCTGAGAATGAACCTAAATTAACTGGGCACCAGAAAAACATAGTCAGTCAACTTTTGCCTGTGTACGTTATAGCAAGTACGCAAACATTCATTGTATACCATGATATTTTCTGTGCAAGTTCCTTTTCTACCTACTACCATTGAAAATCCAAAGACTTGGCTTCTTTGTTTATAAGAGTAGCCCACTCAATGATGTATTTATGGTTGAGAATAGATGTCCAAAATTCATTGCCTCATATACAGAATTGTAGGATCCCTGAACTGGTCTTGTTACTCATGAATGAAAATCATCAATAGTTGTGCAAATTCACCGGTACAAATGCAGGTAAGAAAACCCATCATTTCAGTGGCTGTCGCTTTGTGTCCAGTTACATTAGCATGTGGAATAATAATGGCTCAAATACAGCGAGTAGCAAGAGAAAAAATTAAGGCGAGAAGGATTAAGGGAGGGTAGACAAGTGCTCCATGGAGTACGACGTGTTAAAGCACTGCATTATGAAGCTCTCCACAGCCATTGCAGCACGAGTTCGATCCCCACCCAGGGAGCTGACCCTAAGGGCTCTTCTGACCAGCCCGCTGCTCCCCTCAGCAGTGTACTTTGACAATCTGCCTGTTCTGCTCCCCACATTATCTCTGATGAATCCTCTTACCCACAATACCTCTGGCCTATACCCCAGTTCTCTAGGCATAAATAAAGAAATCTTTAAAAAAAGAATGAAAGGGTAGACGTTCTAATTACTATAGATACATGCACACATTCTATGTGACTACCAATGAAGCAGATGTTAGTGAGGAAGCTGGCTAAAATGAAAGAATAAAAGTATTTATATGATACATCAGCCCACAAAAGAGCAATGTAGAGACTTGGGTCACATTTAGATGACATGAAAGTTAATATACAATATCCAGCTTTTTAAGATTAGGTTCAATAGAAAAAGTTCCTGGGTGTCATTAAAAGTAAGTCTAAAAAACCCGCGGGGATTACAATCGAGATGGAAAAAAAAATGTGCAAAATGGTGTAAAAATAAACTTTGTAATAAAAAAAAGAAATACAATGGAGAGAGAGAGATGTAGCCTTAAGCAGGCGTAAAGTAGAAATCGAAAAAAAAAAAAAAAGTAAGTCTAAAAAGGATATGTTCCTGGTTGAGAAGAGTCGCTCTTTCACTATTTTCACAGCCTTTAAGGAACACTGATTGTGTCCTGGAAATAAGCTTGCTGCTGGAGGCACAGATTTAAAAAAAAAAAAATTTCCCAACATTGTGATAGTGAGATCATCGTAGCCTGCAGTGTAACAGGAACGGAAAGGCTGGTCCAACTAGCAACTAAACTAAAACCTGAAGGAAGGACAGTGGATGTTAGAGATTGCATCAGAGGCAGAAAGTTTGGCAAATGTAATTATTTCTGGGAAAATGCTGAGACTTTCAAGTGCTGTATCCTCTATGTTGAAGAAGCAGCTGATGACTTCCTATTGCTATTTTCCTTACTTTCTCTCCTTTGGTTAGAAACTCAGAAGCTTGTCTAATTTTCCTTAATTCTTATTTTGGCTCTCACCAGTGAGGCTGGTAGAGGTCCCATCATAGAGACCCACAGAGAACATCAAAATGGCAAATTTCCCCTATTATCTTACCCATCCTCTGGATAGAAATTTAATGAATTTCTAATGCTGCGAATCTCCCTGATTCTTCCTCTTGCCCTCTCCATGTAATTGTTTTCCTTGACAGTGTTCTACTAATCTCATCTTGGTGCACATGGGCCTGAAGTATGAGAATGTTCTATCACCCTTTAGTTGGCGCTCAGCTGAGACGTAATTCAGTTGAAATGAGGACCAGACCCATCTGGTATGAAAAGATCGTCACCATCAGAACTAAAAGACACTGTAGGAAAAGACAAAAAAACCCCAAGTTAAATTCAAGAAAGTGACAAATTAAGTGAAAACATCAATAGCTTTTTAATTGAGCTTAAGCTCCCATCAATATAAGGTGATTTCAGTTGTGAATATTGAGCATTAACTGTTGGGTTTTGACTGTATAGAGCAGTAATGAAGTAAACAGGAGCAATAGTCATACAGGACAGAGGAATTTCATCATCAGCTGTGTAATTTGAGAAACTCTGAGAATGCAGATATTGTATTGTTGTTAAGGGGAAGGATGTCCTAAAGAAGCTCTGCAGAGCCTTATGGATTCCACCCCCTACTCCAGCTTTCTGGACCCTACCCAGTGATTGGAAACTACAACTCCCAGCAGTACCAGGGAAAAGAACTGCGAGGACCCAAGGGCGGAGCTAGCAGGAATTCTGGGACATTTGAGGATAAATAGGTTGCGATTGTGTCTCTCGCTGTCTCTCAGGAAACGGCTTTCCAGACCACGAGACTGGATATTTTCAGTCAGCCAAGCCGGTAAGGTATTCCAGTTACTTTTATCCCTCTCTCTTTCCGTCGGTTGTTTCTTAATCCTTTCCCCTTTTTGTAAATAAACCCGTTATTGACCCTTTTGTGTGTACCTGCAGTATAACTGAATTGTGAGTGGGCGGGTGAGGCCCCACAGACAGGCGTCCTAGTCGACTCTGGGCTACCCTATAACATTGTCAGTATGATGATGACCAACCAGTTATTTGCCTAATTTTAAACCCTAAATCGAACCAATCGTACTTAAAGAATGTCCCATAAAAAG